ATATATAGAATATATATTATATACTATATATATATATATATATATATATTATATATATATATATATAATATATATATATATATATAATATATATATATATATATATATATATATATATATATATATATATATATATATATATATATATATATATATATATATATATATATATATATATATATATATATATATATATATATATATATATATATATATATATATATATATATATATATATATATATATATATATATATATATATATATATATATATATATATATATATATATATATATATATATATATATATATATATATATATATATATATATTATATATATATATATATATATATATATATATATATATATATATATATATATATATATATATATATATATATATATATATATATATATATATATATATATATATATATATATATAATATATATATATATATATATATATATATATATATATATATATATATATATATATATATATATATATATATATATATATATATATATATATATATATATATATATATATATATATATATATATATATATATATATATATATATTATATATATATATATATAGATAGATAGATAGATAGATAGATAGATAGATAGAAAAAGATCACTTTTCCAAATGATTGAAAGAAAATATATAATGTTAAAAAAAGTTTATAACTTTTATTTTTTAGATAATATTTTAATCCTTGTTTTAATTGTCCACTTGAACAAATGAGGATTGAAATTCAGTCTTTTTTTTAATATTTTCTTAGTTTAAATAATATTATTTAGAATATGTAAATATTAAAACAATTTAAAAGTATACATTAAAAAAAACTAAATCAGTGCATTATAGAACAATTTTTAATTATAGAACAATTTGTTTTTATAGAACAATTTTTTATTATAGATAAATTTGTTATTATAGAACTGTTTGTTATTATAGAACAATTTTAAATTATATTTTTATTTGTATTTATTATTATAATTAAATTTTAATTTGTAATTATAGAACAGTTTTTAATTATAGAACAATTTGTTATTATAGAACAATTTGTTATTATAGAACAATTTGTTGCTTTTTTTAAAAAATGAAGTAGAAGGAAGACTTTAATCTTTTATAATCAAAATTTATCTTTGCATTTTTTATTGATATTTTGCTTATCAAACAAGCATTAAATTTATGTTGCATACAAACATGTTGCTCTAAATAAATTAGTAATATTTTATTTCTATTCTATATTTATTTTTTAACATATAAATATGTGAAATTTTAATTTATTTCTATTTATTTTTTTAAAGTACGCAAGTCTGGCAAAATTCATTTGAGGAGTTGCTATCTGGTATTTTAAAAAGTGTTTCTTCCAAAATTCAATCGTTAATTATGTTATCTTTAAAAAAAGACAATTTTTGCATTCTTCAATTTACTGAAATAAAAAGATCTGAAGAGGTAGCATCTGAACCAGGAACAATCATAAAGCCCTTCGACCACAATTTAAATTTTTTGCCCATACCCTCTGCAGAAAATGTTATTGCAGCTCAAGAACCAAAAGTTATATTAATGAACAAAACAACTGAAAATGATAGTTGCTACATGAGTCCTAAATCAAGTATTGAAAACTACTATGATACAATTTATTCATCATTAGACAATTTAGATAGTAAACTAGATCAGTTGGAAGAGATCAGTATAAGTTCTTTATATGCATCAAAAGGCCCATGTACGGAAGAAGAACAATCTGGCTCGTTGGATTCCAAATTTTTAAAAAACTTTTATGAAAACCGATATTTTGATTCAGATATAAATAAAGCTTTGGTTACTTCTAAACTGGTAGATTCTATTAATACATCTGCACAGCAAAGTTCTATGGTTACATCTACACAAGAAGGTGTTATAGTTGCACTTAAAAATAATGAGAAAATAGTTAAAAAAAGAAACTTAAGAATATATGAAAATGATTTACTTATGGTAACCAGTTCTCTATCGGATTTATTACACGTCTGCTTTGAAATAACTGTTTTTGTGAAGACTTTTTTTTCAGTTCGCTCACCTAACCATTTATTCTTTCAGCGTAATGATATAGTACTAAAACAAAATTATCTTGTAATTATTTATTTTTTGCTTTGTTTTTTTTTTTTTTTTTTCTATTTGAAAATCTTTTCAATAGTTTTTCTATGTTTTAAATGAGCTTCGAGTGTATAATCGTATGGGTTGATTGAAACTGTATTTTATTTACTAATTTTTATAATTAGAATCTTGGATCTTTATTGAAAGTATATTCCTCAAGTTTGCTTCTTTTTGATATTTGTGGTATTCAAATTCTTATGGAAGAAAATCAAAGAATTCTCAGGAACCATATTGAAACAGAGGTTTGTAATTAGTTTTTCGTTTTTGTTGTTAAATATTTTTGGTTTTTGGTCATTTAAATGTGCATGTAAAATTGAATTTAATGTGCATGAAAATCAATTAAAATAGTTGAAATGAAAGACTCTTCACAAATATTTATAGGGTTTAAATTTTTCAAATAATATTTTGTTGAAAAATTTCTTAAAAATTTTATAATGTATCTTTTTTTAATTGACAGTTACATAGTTTTGAAACTTCTTTTTTTCAAATTTTATTTGAAAAAAAAAATTCAAAAAAAAATCACTTTATAATTTAAATAGTACAAGACAGTATTACTATGTTGTTTATTTTTTCATAGTTTATTTTAAATTTTACTTTGCACTGTATATTTAACAATTTATTTTGCACATTTTAATTAACAGTTTACTTTGTACAATTTAGTTAACAGTTTACTTTGTACAATTTAGTTAACAGTTTAATTTGTACAATTTAGTTAACAGTTTACTTTGCTCAGTTTACTCTGCACAGTTTACTTTGTACAGTTTATTTAACAATTTATTTTGTACACTTTATTTCACAAAGTTTAATTGACAGTTTACTTCTCACAGTTTAGTTAAGAATTTACTTTGCACAATTTATTTTGCACAGTTTGTTTTGCACAGTTTAGTTAACAGATTACTTCACACAGTTTATTGCAAATTTGTAGTATTAAAAAAAAATTGAATTAAGGAGGTAGGCTTTTATATCGTTAAGCAGAAGCCAACCTATAAACAAAACTCAGATCAATTTTCAAACAAGTTATTGGTTAGGTACTAGAATTAGAGGACAAAATTTGTACAGTGTTTAGGAAAAAATAGAGAATCATCTATTTGCAGGGCTCAGTTAGAAAAGGCTGCTAGATCTTTTAGTTATGCAAATTTTTTCATTAAATTGTTTTGATTTGTATTTAAAAAATAATCAATATTGAAAAATTTTTCAGAGACGCATTTTATTGCATAGAAAACATTTTAACTGCTACCATTTTTACCATTTAAAAGCAAACATGAATCTTGAAAATAAAATGTTTTCTTAACTTTTCATGAAGAGAGCAATTAATTTAATTAAAAAATTTTAAGTGGGTACCCTAAATATGTAGTATAGAAAGAATAATTGGTAGAAAGAAAAAAGAAATTGAATTTTTATCTAATTTAGAAAAACAGTTCTTTTTGAGAATTTTCACAAAATATTCAAACAACTTTTACAAAAGTTTTAGGAATTTTCACAAAATGTTTGGCAAAATGTTGATTTTGGTTTTGGCACCAAACTAGAGTACCCGAAATTTTGGTTTATTTTGGTTTCGGCTTTTCTTTGATTCCGGTCCATCTTTAGTACAGAACACCAAAGAGCCTGTAAGAATCAAAAATGGTTGAGTTCAGGAGCCACAGAGCATTTTAGAACATGTCATGGTAACTTTGATTGGCGTTAAATCTTAAGACCTTGGCAGTCGTTCCAGAATACAGGATAAAAAAAGTTAGAGAATTCCTGGAGATTAACAAAGCAAAAGTTCAATATGAGATTATTAGGCTAATTGTTCTAAATCAAGATGACGAAGATAAAGTTGAAGCAAAAACTTGGACATTGACATTGACAAAATTTTGACAAAACATTGACAAAAATTTAACTGACATCATTGTTATATTATTTAATTGGTTTTTATATTTTACTCTTGTAAATGTCTTCTTTTAAAAAGTTTTTTTTTATGTAATTTTGTAACGTTTTATTATTACCTAATGATGCTAACCACACTAGGTCAGTGAAATATCATTAATATATTATTATAGAGTATATAAAATATATCAAATAAATTTTTAAAAATATATCAATATATTTTTAAAAATAGTTATTCTCTGCCTTTTTTATTGAAATCAACTTACATATATATATATATATATATATATATATATATATATATATATATATATATATATATATATATATATATATATATATATATATATATATATATATATATATATATATATATATATATATATATATATATATATATATATATATATATATATATATGTATATATATATATATGTATATACATATGTATATATATATATATATATATATATATATATATATATATATATATATATATATATACATATATAACCCTTGGAATTAGAAAAAATGAGGTCAGCAATAATTTGCCAACCTTAAGTATTTAAAGGTCGGTATCAGGTTGACAAAAAAATTTAATACAAAGGTCTTACAACAGAGCTATGTGTATATATATATATATATATATATATATATATATATATATATATATATATATATATATATATATATATTTTATAAATAAAAACTACATTTTTTACAAATGTTAGTTTTATGTTTATTGTAATCATCAGGTAAAAATATAAGGTTTTTTGTGAGAATATTTATATAATATTGTATACATGAAAAAAAGAAACTTTTTGAACTGGTTGATACTGACTGCGTCTATTGTTTCTTGTTCAAGATTGTTCCAGTTATTTACTACTCTATTTGTGAAAAAATTATGTCGTTTTATATTTCCTGTATATTGCCTTCTCAGTTTATTATTGTGACTTCTAGTTTTATATCTGTTATCAAGCATTTCGGGTTTTGTGTAAAAACTTATAATATCGTACCCTTTCAAATATTTGAACATTTGTATCAAATCACCCCTTCTTCTTCTGTTCTCCAACGATAGTAAATCCAACTTCTTTAACCTCTCTTCATAACTGTATCCTTTCAAAATTTTAATTCTAGAAGCTCTTTGTTGGACACACTCTAGTTTATCTTTATTATACTGACGATAAGGATTCCAGATAGGAGCTGCGTATTCCAAATGTGGACGTACTAAGACTATAAACAAGAGTTTCATTGTTTTTCCGTCTAAATATTTAAAAGTGTGTTTGATCTGACCTAGCTTTTGATTTGCTTTATTTACTGCTTTATTTACATAGTGTTTCCATTTCAAATCATCTGAAATGTACACTCCTAAATCCTTTTCCAAGCTTGTGCAGGCTAAAGCTGTATTGTTCATTAAAACTTTGTGCTGGCTATTTCCTATTATCATAACTTTGCATTTTTGCTGGTTGAATTTCATCAACCACTCATTCGACCATTCCATTAATAAGTCTATATCTTGTTGAAGTTCAATAAGATCATTATCGTTTTTTATTGCTCTAAGGATTTTCATGTCGTCAGCAAATAGTTTACAGCTTGATTTTATTTTGTTGGAGATATCATTAATATACACTACATCCTTGTGGTACTCCACTTACGACCTCTTCCCATTCTGATTTATTATTTCCTATCACCACCCTTTGAAGTCTGTTCTTTAAAAAACCCTTGCACAAGTCAAATAATTTTGATTTAAAACCAAGAGCATTCAATATTAACAATAATCTTTCGTGATCAACTGAATCAAACGCTTTGGCTAAGTCCAGAAACAAAACTATTATTTCCAAACCATTATCAATTGAACTTGTGATAAAATCTAACGATTCCAATAAGTTGGTCACACAACTTTTAGGCATATATGGATGTGCTTTATCAATAGTACAATAAATAATCATCTAATAATATGAATACGCTAATTTAATATTATTATTAGTCGAATTACGTCATTTTCTAGGCTTTTCTATTTTAAAGTAGTTTCTAGGCTTTTCTATACGCGTTTTTTTTTTTTAATTTTATTTACTAACAACGCATATTACGGGTTACCTACTGCTAGTATTATTAGATAGTAATAATATATATTTAGAAAAGTTCAGTTGAGTTTAATTTACTCTTGTATTGAAATATGTTTTTGTGTTTTTACTAATGGTCTTTAAAAATTTTCCATGTTTTGACAATATATTTGAATCTTCTGTGATGAAGTTTTATATTATAAATGTATACTATATTTTTTGAAGGCAATTTCTTCTAAATGGCATTACAATATTTGCCAGCAGTGGCATGATTGGCAGGTGTGGGTTACTAGATAATACTAGATAATGTTTTTTAGGCAATAATCATATTTTTGATGTCAAGTAACCAGTTGTAGTTTACTTATGTGTCATATTTTTTTAATGCCAATTGTTATCATTTAATTTTACAATAAAAAAAAAAGTTATTTAACAATATAGTATGAAGTGTTTTAATTGTAAATATTTTTGTAAATATCTTTTTTTAGTTTTGGACAGATCTTGTTGAATTGAAAACATGTGTTGGATGTAGACATTGTATTGGTATCAAAGATCAATTCTCAAATTGTCATGGTAATTATTGTTATTTTTTAATAGATAAATTTTAATGAATTTAAATTGTTAGTTTTGTTTGAGATTTCTGTCATACACTAAAAATATTGTTGTTTATTGTGAATAAGAAAAGGAATTGATAAGGGGTCAATCATAAATTATGTCATGGAGTTTTTGACAATTTCATACCCCTCTTCTTCCCTCCCCCCCCCCCCCCCCCATCTTCAGTAACAAATCATATTGTTTTATTGCTTCTTCCTCTTCTCCCTCCTCCTTATAATTACACCACATATTTGTACCATAATAATATAAATAAGAAAAGTGTTTAAATATTTAATTGCTTACTATCACAATATATCAGGACAGAGCCGTGAGTGATCAATTCCACGTATTTCGAGGCGCGACTAACAAGGATTGAGAGTACAATTTTTTGTAAGGGTGCCAAACTTTTTGGACATTAATTCAAATTTTTATGTTTTTTGTATTTTAAGAGAAAATATTTTTATATTTTGTGTTTTGATTTATCTGAAAATTGTTTTATATGTTTTAACTATTGCTGTCATTTTATTATAACTATATTTATTATTTATGTTTTTTAAAGTTTCACACAATAATAATAATCAATGCGTACATAAATTGACTGATATGGCCCTAGTTGCAGTGTAGTTACATGCATTGACTGAATTAAATAAGTATGGAGGAAGTAGAATGTATATATATATATATATATATATATATATATATATATATATATATATATATATATATATATATATATATATATATATATATATATATATAATATATATATATATATATATATATAATATATATATATATATAATATATATATATATATATATATATATATATATATATATATATATATATATACACACAGTACCTACTCAAATTATTAGACTCAAAAGAGAGATGTCCAGATTTTGTTAGTTTTTTGGATTTTCTTTGATAGGTAAGGATTAATGATGTTTAATTTTTGTTGTTCATGTGCAATTTAACTTCATGTTATTCATATTTTGTTTTTAATTAGGAAAAGTTATAAAATTTATTTAATTTTGAAAAATATTTTAAACTTTATAAAAGTAATGGTAAGTTTAAATTATGTAAAATTAAAAACTTTCAGTTAATTTTGTCAGTCATAACTTAATTCATATTTCTTCTTTAGGGACCTACATTTTTTTATATTGTCTTTACAATTTAAATAATAAAATTTCAGTTGTTTTTAAGTTGTTTGCATTAATTTTGCAGTCAAATAATAACTTAATTAATGTTGGAGTTATTTTAGGATTAATATTAGCTGAATCTTGTGACGTTTTCTAAGTAAATATGCAAAAGTAACTGTCCTTCTGCAAGAAACAAGTTACATCCAAAGAAATATTAGAAAGAGAAAGAAATAAGTTGTCAAAATTATCATGGCTACAGTCAGAGGAATGAATTCTAAACTTAAAATAAGGGTCAAATTAGAAGCGCAAAAAACAGGGTCCTAATGCAGAACAAGAGTTACAAGTGCTAGAGATCACAGAAAAATGAAAAAAGTTATTGAACGAAATCGTAAGATACCATCAATAAAAAAAAAATTCACTTGAATCTTTAAGAAAGAGAAGTTATGAGTTTAGATATAAGTGTAGAAAGCCACTGAATAAGCGGTAACTTATGCCTACAATGATTAAAAAATGTCTTGCATGGGCTAAGAAGTACTCCTCTTTTTCTCAAGATGACTTGAATAAGGTAAATTTTCTATTAGTTTTCTCCTGAAACATAAGCAATTAATATTTTAATATTACAAGTTTTTAAAAGATGTTTTTGCATTAATATCTTATCTCAATTCATTTTGTTAATATTTGAAATATTTAAAACATCAATATTTATTGCTTTAGTCAAGTTGTATACAGCAATGAGTCGACCTTTGAGGCTTTGGAAAAAAAAGCCATATTCGTCTGTTGCAGACCAAAAGAACAACAAAGCCAAAAGGTAATGTAAACACTGTAAAGCACCCAGGGTTTATAATGGTTTAGTCATGCATATCGAGTAGGGGTGTCTGTCAAAGTCTTTACATTGTACATGGGATGATGAAACAAGATAGTGCAAGACTGTCTGACAGACTAGTTTGATTCAACAGAAACAAGAGAGGTTTCTTAATAGTAAAAAAAGTAGTTTTCATACAAAATAGTGCTCTTTGCTGTACGGCAAAATCCATAAAGACCTTTCTTGCTAATAAGAGTATTGCGCTACTTGATTGGCCTGGCAATTCTCCAGATCTGAACCCTATTGTAAATCTGTGGGTTCTTGTAATACGCAAAGTGCTGACTTTGCATTTAACAAGTAAAAAGAAACTCACAAAATGACTAATCAAAGTATGGCATCGAAATCCAGATATTAAAGGATTGACCTCAAATTGAGTAAATAGTATGCCAAGGCATATCAAAGCTCTTTCAAAAGGAGTCAAAAGGAATCATCATCAAATATTAACTTTCATAATGTGTTTTTTTTTATATATTAATATATAGATTATATATAAAAAAATATGTTGTGATAGCTTTTAGTGAGTTTTAGACACACCAAACAGACAAAATGTTAAAAATTGAGTTTGAGTCTAATAATTTGAGTAGGTACTGTATATATATATATATATATATATATATATATATATATATATATATATATATATATATATATATATATATATATATATATGTATGTAAATATGTGTATATATATATATATATATATATATATATATATATATATATATATATATATATATATATATGTATATATATATATATATAATATATATATATATATATATATATATACATATATATATATATACATACATACATATATATATATATATATATATATATATATATATATATATATATATATATATATATATATATATATATATATATATATATATATATATATGTATATATATATGTATATATATATATATATATATATATATATCAGGGTTGGCAAAAAAAACCCACCTTAAAAAAAACCAAAAAAAACCAAAATATATTTGGGTTTTTTTAAAAATGTCCTATTTTACAACAGATAACTCTGATTTTAACACTTATATATGCTTTATTATCAGCAAGTGCAACTTTTATACTGTAACTACTTTTGTAAACACTGTATTTGTATACAAAATGGTATTTAGAATATATCCAAAACCAATCAATCTGTTTTTGTAGCAAGTTGGTTATTTATTATTATTTTTAAACATATAGCAAGTTAATATAAATGTTATTGAAATATGTATTAAAACATTAAATTAGTTAAATACTTATACTTATACTTATAAAGGAAATAAAAATCATTCTGTTAAATACAAATAAAAATCATTCTGTTAACTACAAATAAAAATCATTCTGTGTTAACTACATTTTAAGAAATTACTAGTTATTTAGTATCTTTATTCTCCTCTTGAATGTCTATATTTCCAAAGAAGCGTTTTTATGTATGTCATTTTATATTGGTATTTGATCTTTTGATTTTTAAAGCTTATGTTGTATACTGCAAATTTCAGGACAAAGCCACAAGCAAACTACTATATATAAAAATTATTAAGCTTTATTAACAGTTTAGAAATGGAAAGTTGTCAGGCAAAAAAAAATGCTGCAGTTTACTAGACTTGTCCTTATTAAGTGCATACAACTTTAAAACATAAAAAAAATTAAGTTATGTGCAAGCAAGTTTGCAACATGTTTGCTTCTTCAATGAGAGAACATGTTGAAAATTTGTATGCACTTCACAAGGGCAAGATTTGTTAGTGAAAATGATACTCGCACTCATCTGTCTATTTTACAGGTTTTGAATATTTTGCATCAGCAACAAGTTAACAACATGTACCACCAACAGGAGTGACTATGAACAGCGGGTTGAAAATGAACATTAGTATCAAGTTGGTAAAACATCTTCAAGGAAAAAAAAAAGATTCTGGTAGTGAAGACACTCTAATGGTTCTTAACAAATTCATTTTAGATATTTTAAGAACGACTAAAGCTTAGGCAAAAATCCATTTGCAAAACCAATCTTCCCATAAAAAATAAAAACACTATGAAGTATCAATATCATCTAAAATTAGCTAATCATTACTCTCACACCATTTCAAAAATACGAATATGATCATTTAAAGTAAGAAAATTAAGAAAATTACTCCATAATGTTGATCTGGCCAATAACTTTTCTAGGAAGCTGGATAGTATAATGTTCTGTTCAAAAAAAATGTAGTGATTAGGCTAACAGTTTTCTTCTATGATGCAAAAATGTTTAAAAAGTGTTCATACTCATCCTGATTGACAATAACTTACAAGGTTGCACATCATGTTGCAAACTTGTTGATTACATGTTATAATCTTGTACCAGTGGCGGATCAAGACTTCTTGGGGCTCGGGGCTATTTTTGTTTTTGGAGGCTTTTTTATGGGCCAGAGTCTTAAAATGGCATTAAAAAAAAAAAAAAAAGGTCATCTAAAATTTTGCAAACTAGTTTTTGAAATGATATGTTGAACATGTTAGTATAAAAAACTAGTTTGCAACATTTATATTGTTTTAACAACTTTGAATAACTCAATTGTCATAATAATTTTTATAGTGATTTTTTTTAGTCAAAAATATTCTGAACATGTTTTTAATTTAGTGCAATTAATTAATATCATTTATAGTTGATGGAGTCCCCTTTTGCACTATAGGTAAAATATGCTAGTAGACTAGTGGTAAAACATTTGGCTTGCAATCAGAAGGTCGGGGTTCTAATTACCTCTGTTGAAAATACTGTGCTCAATCTATTTCTCTGCACAGCGCCTTTGTTGAGAAATTTTAGTTGTAAATGTTGTTTGTTAGTAAAAATGGTAATGTTAAGGATTGAGACAAAATATTTTTAAAAAATGAAATGCTCCTTTGACTGAAGTGATGATTGGAGCAATAAATGCAATCATCAGGTATCTATATATTTATATAGAGACAAAAAGTATATAAAATATAACTATA